AGATAAGTACACTGTCCATTTTCGAGCAAATTTTGTTAAAGATGAACAAAATTGATAAACTTTAAAACGACGTAGAGAGCCTGAAATCGCAAAACTTTACTTCGAAACCAGAGACGTTTGCAAATGTAGCCAAATTGAACAAAAGTTGTCCAAGTGGCATTATAAACCCTTTCCGAAGGAACCAACGAACTGATAGTACTTCGTCCCAAGTATCTGTTACACGTACTGAGAAACGACGGCGGACTTCGCCTGTGAAGGTACCGGTTCTTGTTGGCACATCGGCTGCATCTACAAGCATTAAAGGTGTGAAACCTTCGGAGCGGGAGGAAAGAAGGCATTATTTCCTTAGCCGAGTTTCTTCTACTGTTGACACGACCATGCTTAACGATTACTGCAAAGAAAAGAACCGTACTCTTCTTGGTTGCCGTGAGCTGCCTTCAAAAAGGGCAGATATGAAATCTTTCCATGTAGTCATTCCAGTGAATGAAAGTATCGTAGCCGAGAAAGCAGAGACTTGGCCTGTGAATATTATAGTACGTCGTTATTTCCTGAACGAAGAAGCCAGAACTTGGCTGAAATCGCTCAATTGACGATCAGAGACGAGTATTCATGTTTGTGCACTGTGGAATGCTCGATCGAAATGTAATAAGACGGATTCAATTTATTCGTACCTACTTGCAAATGAAGTCACTTTTCTTGCAATTACTGAAACTTGGTTATCTGAAGATAGCTTATTTTACGTAAATCTTGCGAAGCCTTGTAATTATAACTACATTGGTAACAATCGTCCCACTCGGGGTGGGGGCATAGGAATATTCTATCTCAACACTTTCCGAATTAAGCTAATTGAGGAGTCAATTAGTGATATTTGGGAATTCTTGGTCGCTGAACTTACACTTACAGACATGAATGTATGCATCTTTGTTTTATATCGCTGCCCTAATTCTTCATGTTCAATTTTCCTAAATGAATTGGTTGAGCTGGTTACACATTATGCGCTACAATACAAATGGTGTTACATTATTGGGGATTTCAATATTCCAGTTAATAAGTCGTGTAATTCTTCTGAAGCCTTATTATCTAGTATGGAGGAAATGGGTTTTTATCGATACAGTTCTGGCCCCACTCACGTTGGTGGCAATGAACTAGATTTGATATTCTTCAACCATAGGGTTACAAATTTTGTCGCACTCGACAGAACACTAGCTTCAGACCATTACTGTGTTACATTGATTATTAATTCTTCTGCAGTGACTATTGCACCCTCCATCGTCAATTTAAAAGTGAAATGGCTTTGGGATCAAGCTGATCGTGTTTCCATTTTTAATTCTATTTTAACTGAGACTTCTGCAATTGCTAAGTCTGATTTTATTTAAAATCAAACTGTCCTTCAATGATTGTTAACTCGTTATTTAATACCTTTCATGATGCATCTGTCCTGAAAGGAAGTGAAATTGTAACTGTTAAAAAGAAGATCAGTCGTGATGGTAAACCCCGTTACTACGATGCCAAATGCGAAAGGGAAAAAAGGAAAAAACGAAAGTTGGAACGCGAAGTTAGAAAACATGACACCCCGGAAAACCGTGAAGCGTACCGAGCACAAGTCGCTTACTACAGATCTGTACTTTCGATAAAACGTAATGATTTCTATACTCTCAATTTTTCTTCTAAGAGCTCGAAAATGATTTTTTATTGCCTTAATGAACTGATGAATCACAAGAATGATACACTTCCTGTGAACTCATCTACTTTCGACCTAGCAAACAGGTTCAACATTTTCTTTAAGAAAAAGGTAAACGACATAGTTGATGAACTGCCTAAAACTAATAATAGCCTGGATTGCACGTCAAATGTTCTAGTCGTATGGTCTGAGTTCGCTAGTATTTTTCCAATAGATCTACTCGACGTATTAGATGATTTACGGACCTCAGAGTCACCTGTGGACATTATTCCTACTCGGTTCTTAAAAGATTTTATTGCCGAGAATATACAATTTTTTACAGATCTTTTTAATTGCATTCTGTTATCTGGCGTTTTTCCTGATGTTTTTAAACAAGGAGTTATCAGACCACTTCTAAAACATGGCTTAAACTAAGAAACTATGTCAAGTTATCGCCCGATTACTAATTTGTCATCATTGTCAAAAATTACTGAAAAGCTTGTACTTTCACAGATGAATGAACATTTAACCTCAAATCGGCTTTGGCCTCAATTTCAGTCGGCTTACCGTAAAGGTTATTCAACTGAGAGTGGTCTCTTGTTCTGTTCTCATTATATATATTCTAAAATTGATTCGGAAAAATGTTTTTACGTTGTTCAAATGGATTTTTCTGCTGCGTTTGATACAATTGACCATTCATTGTTATTAAAGATTCTTGAAAACAAAATTGGTATTGCGCACACAGTTAAACAATTCTTTGAAACTTATCTTAGTAACCGCTTTGTACAAGTTTTGGTAAATAGTAGTCTGTCAGACAAAATTCAGGTCGAAACTGGAGTCCCACAAGGCTCTGTTTTGGGGCCGATTTTATTCATCCTTTATTTACAACCTCTTCTTGATTACCTTATTGATAGCAACATTGCGTACCACTTTTATGCCGATGATTCTCAACTGTTTTTGGAGATTAATCTCATGCAAAATAACCACAAACTAGAAAACATTGAAAAGTTATGCTCCCAATTGCACTTAAGTCTTAATAAAAACGATGGAAAAACAGAAGTAGTGTTTTTCGGTAGACAACTGCATCACCTATATTTAAAACCAGTGAAAATTGTTATTAAAGAAAAGGTTCCTAAATGCTTTACCAAACTTTTGGGGTTCTACCTTGATTACAACATGTCATTTAAGAAGCAAATAAACCATTGTTGCAAGTTATGTTATCTAGAATTGCGTAAATTATATTCCATTCGACGTTTTCTCACTTTAGACCAAAGAAAAATGTTTGTTACTAGCTTTATTCTGTCAAGGCTTGACTATTGCAATGCGTTATATATGAAAGTGAATAAAATTTTACTTATTAAACTACAGAAAGTTCAAAACGCTGCCGCCAGGTTTGTTTTAGGTGCTACGAGGAGAACAGCATCAACAAACGAGTTACTGAAGAAATTGCACTGGCTTCAAGTTTACCAAAGAATAAGGCTCAAAATATGCTGCTTTATGTTACGCGTGAAAAGATTGTATAAATAATCGGCACAATTGGAACTGTGCCGATTACTTATACAATCTTTTCAAAAAGAATTCTGCTTCTGTCAACCCTTCGCGCAGACAAAAGTTTATCCTTCCGAAATGCAGAACAGAATTTACCAAAAAGAGCATTGCCTACCAAGGAGCTGTTATTTGGAACTCACTGCCTGTTCTCTTAACATATATTATTGATTTTACGCTGTTTAAACGAACCCTGAAAACTGTTTTATTCTGTTAGGCTTTGTGAGCCTTCTACCACTCTTGTGTTCAAGAAAGAGTGGTAAAGCCAATCATCATCAACTACTATATATACTGAAATTTATTTTAATGGAAATATTTCAATTATGATATTAAGTTGATTTATATCGATGACTTCTTTTTCATGAACTGAATATTGAGTGAGTATCAATTCTTGTTTTGCAAATATTGCAAAAACAAAAATTGGAAGTGTTCGAAGAAAAAATGATAAATAATGTTCAATTCCACAAACATATTAGTGATGCAAATGTGTAATCCAATAGTTGAAAAAAAACATATGCATGTAACCATACTTGGATGTAAACATTAAAGTTAATTATTTGATCTGCCTGTTAATATAATTAGAAACCTTTGGAGGGGCTATAATAGGAAAGGTTGGGGGTCCATAATGGGAAAGGTTTGGGGGGCTATAATTTTTTTGATACTAGGTTGGGGGGGCTATAATGGGAAAGGCCCTTTTTTAAGTTCAATTCATTTCCTTTTTTAAACAACAAATGAGTGAAGGTCACCAGAAACATGTATGAATCTAGTTTCTAAAAATGGACTAAATGCTGTGAAATCCATGCGGCTTTAAAAAAAAAGTTTATTGATCCATTTTTCTCTTAATGAGATAACTTTCAGAAAAAGTGCCAATCAAACTAAATTTGAAACGTGATTTAATTTTTTTCAGAATTCGAAATTTTGAAAGTGCTCAAAACTTTCAATCCATTTTTTTTCCGGTTTCTTCGAGTATTTTAACATTTTTCTAAGAGTCACTTGGCTATAAATATTTTTTGAAAATCAATTTCAATTTAATCTACAGTTTATTATGGTTCTTTTTAAAAAAAATCTATAACTTTCAAATTGTATTATGGCTATGTTTCTGCCTTTGCTTACGAGTTGCAGCTCGACCCCTGGGTTTATTGTGAGATATGAATTTTTAATTTGATTTTTAGCACGCTTGAATATTTTTTGAATTTATCTAAATGTCGCAGCTTTAAAAAGTGGCCATTATTTGACTTTTTGATCGTTATGGGTTCTCCGAATATGGTGGGCCCAGTCGAAAGAGCAGGTTTGGCGATTTCCCCATCTATTCTAACCAAATCTGAGGTCAAGAGTTCAATTTAAAGAAGGGTTAGTAGGAAAATGCACTAAATAAGCGGCTAATTTTTTAATTTGATAGAGAAACCGCTATGGTTTTGGGATAAATTGAATTTTTGAAAATAATGCTCCTCGCGCAACGACAAGTCTAAAAAAGTATCGAACAGGAGCCTCCAGTCTTAGCTGGGCCACTAGTGTTATTCACAAATATTTGATCTGTGCACTTTGACTGACGATCTCGTATAATTGTAATTCCAAAAAAAGTCTAGACTCAAAACCATTTTATTTTGAAATCATAACGCATTTTTCATAATTTTGTTAAGATTTTATCTCGATTTGTTTCCTTTTCATTATTGACGTGGAATTAACAAATATCGGTTTGCTGTACCACTTTGATGTTTAGTTTATTCTGCGGTTAGGTGGGAACTATTTCTCTGCAACCATTTGCTGTGTCAACAGCTCAATCGATTGACGAAAGGGAACTATGGTAATTTCATTTATTAAGTAGCTGGCGTCATTTTTCAAATAAGTGCCCCATTTCAATTTGATTTCCAATTGCAATCCAGTTTCATATGTCAACTGGTCTTACTTCTATAAGTCTCCTACCTTTGTTTGTAGGTTCTTGAATCCATTAGGCTTTAAGCGATGATTATTTGCCCCTGATTCCTTCATTGTTTTCTTTTAAATCAATACCGGCAAAAAATGTAGTAACTCATTTCCTTTACAGATAGTTAAACATGGCATTATTTTCTGGTCCAGGCACTGCTGTTGGATGAAATTGTCTTTGTTTTATACAGACTTCAAATATGATCAGCTTAGACATACAAGCCCAATTTCAAAGACATGTCAGCAAGCACTGATTTTTCTAAAATGAACTCTTGGAGGGTTGAAAAGGAGGACTGAACTGAGCAAATGGTATCAGACGTCATTGCTGTGAAACAGAACATTGCGATTAATAACGGCCGCTTTGTATAAACATAAATAATTAGGCAGAGATACTGTTAGTCTTCAGCTATTACTACAACTACCACACAACAGAGAATTGCCTTTATCCAATCCGCTACCAATTGGTAGGTTCCGTCAAATTTCGAGCAGACAAACAATTTAGCAGAATTAGTAATCTAATCTTCGCTATAACTTTTTCATGGAAAATGCCAATAAATTTTTTGAGTTTTCAAAAAACTATAGATATGGAATGACTTTTTTTGTTGAATGTCGTTGAAAGAGTTGGTTCATGAAACTATTTAAAAATAGGTTATTGTATTTTGCTATGCAGTTTGATGATATTCCTTGATATATTCTCGGTTAATTTAACATTTAATGCAAAAAAGCGGTTGATAATTTGTCTGCTTTTTCTCAAATTAAGTTTGTCTGCTCAATAATTGCAGCCCCGCTTAACATTATAACTCTTTCAGGTCTTCCTACTCTAGACTACCGTACTTGTTTGATTTTGACAACTCAGCACCATACGCCAATGTGAAGAAAACCAAATTGTTAACTTACCTACATTTCAACATTGTGAAACATTGCCTATTACTACTTTGCGAAGTGAATCAATCAATCGAACTGAATATCACCAGGATAGTCAGATAGTTGTGCAGTGTCTACAAAAGATTACTTGATGACTTGGGTCATTTGGGACTTATTTTGACAGTTGAATCACAACTGATGCAAAAGCAGTAATTCCAAACAATGGCTAGTTATCATTACCAGCAAAGTCAGGACCCAGGAGGCGCTAACTTCAGCGGGGTGCCCTCAGTTGTCCCAATTCCAGGAAATGACCAGCAACCACATGTGTACAATGTAGCGTCCCAGTTTCCACAGAATCCGAATGCGTACTCTCGTCTGAACGAATCGGCCGAGGATTATAATTATATCGACGATGATTACGAGACGTCGTTGGAGTATGATGATGGCGATGAATCCAGGTGTAGTGAAGATGGAGCTATGTCTCTCAGTGGTGCAATTGCTTCAGGTCTAGACCAGCTCGGAACACCTCACGTTAGTAATGAGATTTCCGATACAAAACAAACTTACTAATCACCTTGACGACAAGCGCTCCATAGCTGATCATGACTCTAGTCTTCAGTCTTCATTAGTTATCACATTAAGTCTAATACATCAATATGCATAATTTTTTTAAAAAACTTAAGTTTTATCGGTAAACAAAGCCATCATTTGAAAGCGATTATGTTTCTAACTATTTAATTTGAAGAGAACAGAAAGAGTGTTGAGATTTTCATGCAGTTTTAAAATACAGGCGAGTTTATTGCCTAATGATAATTTCCTAAAACCTCATCAGCTTCAGGGTTCCGCGGGAAGCAACAACAGCATACCTCAATCAGCAGGGGGTGCCTCTTCCTCTTTCAATGGGGGCGTGCCCGTTAGTTCCATGATCAACGGAACTCGCTCTCGCGCAGAGGCTAATATGAAACACAGGGACAAGAAGCAAGTGAAGTTAATTGGGATGGAGGGAGAGAAGTCAACAAAAACGACACGAAAGACTGTCAAGCAGAAAACAAGTCCGACAATCGTAAGTTTGGCGTTGATATTGTTCAAGAAGGTTATTGGTAAGTGACCAGGAACGTAATGAAGAAACTCATATAGATGCAACTGATTGCTATGTAAAAAGAATATGTATTTGCATAATCAATTGAGTGTGAATAGTTAAGTTGAAAATGGAGGCTACATATGGTTACACGAGAAAAGGTTCCTTGCCTTACGATCCTGTTCCAAAAGGTAGATATGGTTTTTTTTTGGCGAGGCAGAGACTCAATATTTTTCCATGTTTATGCAGGACCTTCCACGCCTCTTCTCCAAACTAAAAGAGCAGAAATCCAACCTGCTGGACGTGCGGAAGGAACACATAGCCTCATTGCCCTCCTCGATCAAAGAGCTGACGAATCTGGAGACGGTGCTACTAGTGTCCAACAGACTGGCCACTCTGCCTCCCGAGGTGTCGCACCTTGTCAAACTCCGCCAGTTGTTCTTGAGTGAGAATCTGATTGTGTCGTTGCCGCCGGAGATGAGCAAACTGAGTGCCTCTCTTGCCGTTTTAGATCTCAGACATAATCGACTAAAGGAGGTATGTTTCACAGGCCCCGAAGACTTTCGTGTCATTCAACATTTGAATATGTCTAAGAGTTGTAATACTAGTTTTATTTTTAAGCCAGAAACTCTAAACAAATCATTGTATGAAATATTCGGCTGGGGAGAAAAGAATCAGCCTGTCACATGGCATCTCCGTAATCTCCATGTGGTTGATATTGACAAGTCGATTTTGTGAATCTGCATCTAAATCATTTTTTAAAACTCAGAATGTCAAATAATGGCGAATCATCTTTATTTACTTGTGTATCATTTTATAACGTTTTCGCTGCAAACGTGTTTGTGATATAATTAGTGTTTAGGTGCCCAATGTAATATATTGCCTGGCGGCGCTCAAAACCCTTCTTCTATCCTTCAACAAAATCACAGTCGTTGACGACACCATCGGAAACCTAACAGTGCGTTCCTTAAAAATTTGTTTTCGATTTTTTGTTCCTCCTGTAGCCTTAATTAACCCATTGTTGAGTATTTTGGGTTGAACTAGAACTTGGTTGACGTTCCTCAAGAGATGGAGCTACGATTGTTTACGTAGAGTCCATAAACAGAAAAAAATCGAAAAGTGGGTTAAATGTTAATAGATGTAAGTATATCTTTTATCAAATCTCATTTTAACATATAATTATGATGATTTTATCTGGCTCCAAAAAGTTCTTCATTTAGTCATTTGAATATTAGTAGTTGAGTATTAGTTTGATTGCAGAACCTTTACACGCTGGCCTTCCGTGAGAATCACGTGACCTCCCTTCCGAACACGATAGGTAAGTTGACGAAGCTACAGAACCTGGACATGAGTCGGAACAATCTGAGTGTGCTTCCGGAGGAGATCGGCCACTGTACCCATCTGACCTCTCTCATCCTCCCCCACAATCAACTGGAGAGTCTCCCGGCCTCAGTGGGAAAACTCACCCAGCTCACGCGTCTAGGACTCAAGTGAGTCAGTGGAGCGAACCACAAATATTTCAACTTAAGCTATTACGATTAAGGAACGTAGTGATTACTCTTATATAAGAGGTCTTGCTGATTTTTTTTTTTCAGGAAAAAAATCTTAAAATTTGTTCACGCTCAATTTTGATTTTTCGAAGTTTGACTTGTGATTTGTTTTTAAGTTCAGTTCATTTCTATTGTTAAAAGGAAGGCAAACTCTGATAACGAACAACAAAATTGTTAAGGTCACGAAAAACGTGATCTACTTCTAATTTTGAAAATGGAAATTAATATCAGTTTTTCCAGCGAAATAAAAGTTATACCTATTGATACAGTTTTCTCAAATTGAGTTAATTTTAACATAAAAAGTGTCCATCATAAATTGTTCTACAAATTCGAAGAGCTGTAAGGCCATCTAATTTTTTATTCGAAATTCAAAAGTTGAAGATTTTTGAAAAAACAGGTCACTTTTTTCAGTTTCCTTGCGTTCATTACTTTTTTCCTACTGTCAGTTTGCTATGTTTTGTCACTATTGTTTTGAGCGTGTTCGACAATCGTTGAATAACTTATACCACCCCTTAAACACAAACAGTGGAGAAATCAATCAAACGCGATGATTATGATGTTGTGGCGAACTTCACAACCACTTAAAAGCATTAAAAAGTGAGCTGTAAAAAAATCCGCTTTATAGTCAGAACCACCAATTTTTGTCGAACGGAAGTTTTTTGAACAAGATGCAAATTGCAATGATTTTTTTTTCTGCTAATCGGCTCAAATTTGATGTGATGTTTTTAAAATTGAAACGTCTAAATGCATGAAATTTATCGGTTGAAATTATTTTTTCACTTGAATTTTTAGTTGAAACTCAGAATTATTGATTTTTGTGCTTGTTAATTTTCCCTGGTTTGAGGCATACAGCAGAACAGATCAGTCTCTTTGAGTTCAATAGTTTTTTTTTTTAAAATCTATTTTAAAATCTACGTTGGGTGTAATGTTTATTGAGACCGCAGAACAGAATAGTCTCTTTAAAGTCAATATTTGGTATAGGTACAACCGTCTGGCTGAGGTGCCTGAGAGTTTGTCTCGCTGTGTTCTGCTAGACGAGGTGAACATAGAGAACAACCTGATAGTGCAGCTACCGGACGGGATGTTGCAGCCGATGAAACATCTCTCAACTGTAGTCTTGTCCCGCAATGCCTTCGAAGCACTCCCCAATGGCAAACCAGACCAGTACAAACTACTTGCGGTGAGTGAAATCCAATCATCGACACTGATTTTTATTAGTGAGCGCACGTTCTTACACCGCTTTCCCTTAGTTTTTATAAATAAATATATTCATCTTGGCCGTAAAAAAAACAATACACTCGCTAGATAAGTATGGATTGTTTGGTTTATTGAATCAGCATTAGATCAGTGTATAAGCGAAGTTAAATTTATTATTTGAAATGGTTTTTGCCTGTGCACGAGTTTAATTAAAATACATTTTTATCATTTTGTTGTCTATTTCGATTTATCCTCTAAGTAAAATCAGTCACTCGACATGTAGTTTCAATGATTTGTTTGTTAAGACGTTAGAAGCGGACAGGAACAAGATAACCAGGATTCCGTTTGGTTACTTCAGCAAGGCAGAAAACCTTTCTAGACTCAATCTGGAGAACAATCAGCTGAAGTCACTCCCACTTGGTACGTCAAGGTCAACTAAATTCACAGCATTTTCTCATCCATTGTCGCACCTCTTTCTCATCAATCATGGAAGATCAAAAATGAAACTGATCAATAATTAATAGTTTACGCTCTGGCGTTTTTCTGAAGGTCTCATGTTTTACATGACTGAGTTGTAGCTATTTTCGAAGGATTACATGAGATTAATCGTTGAGAGGTTTGTTTAACTTGGTCACGACTCTTTAGATTTCAATACTTGGAGGTCATTGGTGGAGTTGAACTTGGGCACCAATCTATTGGAGAAGATTCCAGAGGACATTTCGCGTCTGGAGAAACTGGAAGTGCTCATCTTGAGGTTTTCAATTGTTATTAATTTCGAATTGCTAAAAGTTCCAAAAAGAATAATAATTGAGTGTTTGTCTTGACTAGGCTGGTTACAGCGTTCAGCTCTGCAATAAATTCAGGTGATATGCTACAATAGGTGGTAGTTTTAATTGTAGTTCATGTATTAAGTTTTGAGAACTATAATGCATAATATAGTCATTCATTTGCAAAAAATTAAACTACTTCTAAGATAGTTTTTGTAAATACATTACTCTGCCAGGTGAAATGCTATTCAAAAATTCAAAATTTACACTTGTTTGCCAAAACATTTGGTTTTTGAAACAAAATATAAATAATGTGCGAAGTTTAACAAAAAGCGATCCAGCTATTCAAATTGAACCTACCACCTATTGTAATATATCACCTAAATTCAATATTCAGCATAAACTGATTTTTTGAAACAAATCATAAGCATGTTTGATAAAAACAAAGGTGAAAAGAACTATTAAAACACACCCCCCCCCCCCCTCTCCATTGCACACCCTTTTTCTATTCGAATGTGAGGGGGGCAGTTGAAGGCTCCGGTTACAATTATTTTCGTTCGATGTATCAATTTAATATGAAGCCTTCTTGAGCTTTTCAATAGAAACAAGTAATCGAGCTGATCAATTTTATAATCGAAGGGATTAATTGTACCTTTTTGTACCTGTAGCAATAACCAGATCAAGAAGATTCCAAAGACGCTGGGAGATCTATACAGGTTGCGAGTGTTGGACCTGGAGGAGAATCAGCTAGAGACACTTCCCCAGGAGGTAGAGCGACTGCAGAATCTGCACACTTTGTTGCTCACTTCCAACAGACTAGTCAATCTACCCAGATCCATTGGGTGAGTTATCAACGAAGTTGTGAATAAAGCGATTTTCATGTAGTTTGTTTTTAGTCAAATCAAGGTCATCAAACAATAGAAACGATGGGTTATATCGACTGGTCTGAAACAAACTACTTGACGTCTGAAACTCGCGAGTTTTGTTTTTGCCAGCAGTTCACTAGAAATGAACGTAGTGAAGACTCATATATGTCTTGATTATTTTTTTTGCTTGGTTTTTTTCAGGAAAAAGTCGTACTAGCAGTTTTGTTCACGATCGATGTTGATTTTTCGCGGTTTTGTTCACGATCAATTTTGATTTTTCGCGATTTTATTTTTAAGTTCACTTCATCTCCTTTTTTAAAAGTTAGACAAAATCCAGTATCGAAAAACAAAAGTGTAAAGGTCACGAAAAACGTGATCGACTTTAATTCTGAAAATTTAATTCCATTATCGGATTTTTCACCGAAATAATAATGTTACCTATTGATCCAGATTTCTCAAATTGGGTTAATTTTATGCAAAAATTATCAATCATAAATTATTCTAAATATTCAAAGAGCTTCAGGCCGTCTATTTTTTTCTTGGAGTTACGAAACTTTTTAAAGGTTTTTTATAGAAACAAGTTTTTTTTTCTGTTTACTTGCATTCATCGACTTTGTTCCAACTGTCTGTTGGCTATGTTTGCCTTAGCTTGTAGTTTATTTTTTTCCAGTTAAAGTTTTTTCTTTCCAATAAGTTAAGATCTGGCAACAGTTGACTATTTCCTTTCCTGTTTCAGCAATCTTGCCAGTCTCCAGAAATTGATGATGGGCGAAAACAACCTGAACGCAATTCCGGAAGAGATCGGGAATCTAGAGCGTCTCGAGGAACTGTACATCAATGACAACATGAATCTTCACTGGCTGCCGGCCGAATTGACTCTCTGTGCCTCTCTTCAGATAATGTCAATCGACAACTGTCCCCTGAGTCAACTTCCAGAGGAGATAGTCTTCGGAGGACCCTCGCTTGTCATCCAATATTTAAGAATGCACAGCCCTTACAGATCGGGATACGTGTAGTGAACACACCTTCATTGATACAACAAATTGTTTTCAGAAGGTTTTCAGCCAAGAAACTGCGAAGGGTGTTTACATTTTGAAAACAGAAAGGCATATCTGCAATCAATGATGGAACCGAAGGGACTGTTTATTTATGCTATCCGTCAATTCAGAATCGGCTTTCATTTCTTCACTTATTCTGCACTCTCTTGAAAGTGTGTCAGATTTGATTTAACCACACTCATTGGTTTAACCTTCGAATCTGTCTCCGGAGATAGTTTGATTGCTTTCGTCTTCACGAAATGATTGTCTGTTGTCCTGAACAAAGAGTGTATGAAATGATCAGCTAAACGGATGTTGCTTTCCTTTAATTTTTAATATTTTCCGATAATTGTTCCGACCATTGAAAATGGGGAGGGACTTTCTATTCGGGTGTTTTAATTTTTTTTTCAACTTTTTGTTTTCCACGCAAAATCAGCTACCACAAATTATCATATTTAAGTGATAAATCATATTAAAGCCCTTTTGGTCGGGACTCGAACGTCATTAAAAATTTTCAAACCGCGTCATGAAAAACCGGTTTGAAATTTGATTTTTGGTCTAATTTCGAGCTAATTAGTAAGGTAGTTAGTAATTGCAAGTTTATTTAAGCTTAATTTAAGCGGTGAAAACCGAGTTTTACTCAAGTAAAAGTAGTTTTTGGAGTTTTTAGAGCAATATTGGGAATCAAGTTCCGGGAAAAATTTTTTTTTTGAGTTTTTGTTCAATTTTTTAAATTGTTTTTCTAGTTTTTCTAAAACGACCCCAATTTGAGAAAACATTTTGTATTTTTCTAAGACTGTGGTCGGAACATTCTGTGCTGTTTGCACAGTAACTGGCTATCCTGGTTTCATTTGTGATAAGTTGATACAAAATTTGCTATTTTTCTATTGAAAAGAAATAATTCTGGCATTGGGCACCTTTCTTGTTCTTCGAATCATACTCCGCTTCTGTAAGTGGCTTCTGAAAATCAAATATTTGTTTTTTTTTCAAATCTTCTTAATAAAAACCAATTTCAGACGTAAAATTGAACTACCTTGATGGATATAATTTATTGGCGCTACGCAAGTACTCATGACTTCTGTCAGAGTTTTCGGAAGACAATACTCAGAAAACACATACGAGAAATTTTTCACTGATGAAAGAAGGCGTTCATAAACTTAATGAGGCTAGTCAACGTTTATAGTAAGTTCTTATTACAGTTAAAGAGTCGATAATGTGAAGAATTTAATATGGGTCGTTATACATTTCTTAAGGTTTTGTGTACCATAATCTCATGATGCATGCTGCATTTAGCACAGAAAGAAACAGAAGAAACAACTGCTATGAAATAGTGAACAAATAAATCAAGGAAATCCTTTTTCTGGGGTTTTTTCCTGAAACCGGAGTCAACCTGCTTTATCGGTGATTGTCCCACTTGGGACTTGTTCATTTCTTGGAATGATTATTGCACGGATTGGAAAAGCATTTAATGATATGGTGGAACGCTTTGAAACTAGAACTAGGGCCACCTGCTTCCAAGTACTGTGCAGATACACTTTTGTCATCACAGCTAGCCACTTCACTTGCGGACCAAGCATCTGAGCTTATAGAAGCCATAACTCTAAAAAGAGAATAGTTAAAAAAGAGAATAGTTAAATTCTGCGTTTTTTGTGGAACGTTCAGAGAACTTGCGTGATGAGTTAACAGTAGTCAAATACGGAGGAAATTGAACAAAAAAGAACCATTAAGTTTTAGTTATTGGAGTTTTTCCCCTGGCGGAAGGCAACGGCTCATTTGATTGTCTCTCAATCTAATTGACAGAACAGACGTTCGAACGTCCATTCCGTATGAACCTCCTCCAGTAGTCGATCAGGGGAATTGTGTCTACTAAGTCAGATTGAGAACCCCAACCCACGCCCTCCTCGCCATTAAATGAACTCAGGGGAATTCGGACATTGTAATTTAGATCGACCAGCTTCAGAGTGCCCCGCCAAAGACATCGTCGACTATTTTGTTTTTAATTTCTGTGATGTTCAGATCTTGTTTAAAGGAAGCCAAACAATGAAAGATACAAACGGCCAACATTGAAAACGTGTGATAATATGCATCAAATAAATTGCATACCTTAGTCAGTATGACTTAACATCCCAATGACTGTTACATATTCCATTGACACATTTCTTTTTTGTTTTATTACTGCCTGTACGAGAAGTTGAAAATATTTTTTTGTGCTCTTCTTGATTCAAAAACTTCACTTTTTTTAGTGTATTGGAAGTGTACATCACCACAATTCCGAAGGTAGTAGGATCGATTCACATATTTAACTTATACAGAACTAATGATACAACAACTGCATTGACGTGGATTTGACTGCGGGAGAGCAAGGATTGTCGAGGTCTCTGTTTTTCGGTGTTGTTAAATTTTAGTTGCTGCTGTGGAGGTAACCCCAAGTCTTCATCGGCGTTTGCCGAAACATGTGCGGCATACTTTTTATTGAGATCCGTTTCGAAGCCGTTGACCTTCATTCGAATAACGTGGATGGAATGCCTCTGTGTACATGTCTCCCTGGTTCTTCGAGGGCTTGTACCATCCCAGTAGTCTAATGCCCGGGGCATTGTTGTACTCGGTGGTATTTGCGTTCACACAATCTTTGAAGTTAAACGCATAGTAGGCAGCCGAATTTGTTTATCTTTTGTAACGGAAAGGCAAAAATTAAAAGGGCACCAACGCTCTGCATCTTAGTAACTTTTTAAAGTCCGCTGCCCAGCTGCTTCCTGTCACGAAACTCTGGCTCTCAACGCATTTCAGCTTAGTCCGGTTTTTTCTAAGTAAAGACAAGTTCTCTCTTTGCCGGGCGCCGATAAAGATCCATTGCACAAGTGACCGCAGCAAGCACTCTGTGCAATGGCAACTCTTGGTAGCCTAAATTCGTTTATCTTAACCGCGAAATACATCATTGCAGTCTCATCTCATGCTCCGTTTCAAAACTGAGTGGTGTTTCAATGAAGTGGGTTTCACGAGTGGGGACAAGCGGCTCCTCCGTATCCAATAGCATGTTTTCACTCTGCAGAGTCCGTCTGAGGTCCATATTCAACATGCGGAGTGATATTCCAGGCCTCATGGAGTTCAAGTACCGGAGAATAGTTTCAGACTGTTCTGGAGTAGCAGTGAAGAGGACGCAGACCGTTGATGATCCAGGAGTTCCTAAGTAAAGAAATCGATCATTTTTGTCCTGTTGCTGCAGGGACGATTTAGCAGAAGGGCCAGCTCCTCGCCATTGCTTGAAACGAACGGGCACGCCGCTTCGGCGCCTGTGAAGAAATGTGAGCAACCGTTTCTGTTCATCAGCTTCATCGCCCTGTTGAATGTCACTCAGCGTGACTACCTAAAAATGGTCGTAGTGTGACTACCTAAAAAATGGTCCTCAACCGCTTGCTGAGTCTCAAGCAGGTTCAATCGAGGTGTTAGTACAGGCATCTATGTAACTGAAATAAGTTAAGTTTTTAAGCAAAATCAATAGCTGGGCTAACTATGATGACTTGAGCGTTTTGAAACAGAAACAGATTACAGTTGAGAAGAACAATTGAACTCAAAAATTTATATAATTTTGTTAGTGATTTCGACTTAAATACAAATCAAGAACTAATGAAAACTTCTCAATAATTGATCCACATTGCCTATATCGGATGCCAAAAGCAACTGAAGCAAAGTTTCGAACCTCTTCTATGAAAATAGCACATTAGTTATAAAGAAGCATCGTAGATGTCGTATCTCTGCCAGCGGCTGACAAAGAGCCCTGCAGGGCAAGAAGAAGTGCTCGCCTCTGATACTGGTTGGTGTTTGGATCGTCCGGAGAACTAGTGCCTGACTGGAAAACACCCCACGGTTGGAGATGAGGAACGGCTTTAGAAGGGTACGTTGTTGCTTTGAAGCAGGTTGTCTGACTCGTCTGTAAAGATGAAGGCTGGCTGCTGTTGCAAAGATTTAGTTTAGTTTCGCGCCAAGAGTAGATAGTATATTTTCAATTGCTAGTTTCGTTGCAGGAGGTCCCGGTACGGCGAAGACGCTGTCGTCTCCGAGTACGTGCGTTGGGAACGTCGTGCCCCACAATGATCGCTGAAGATAATATATATAACAAGTTTACAATTGAGTCCACTAATTGTGTGAACATTGAACCAGAAGGTACTCCTGTTGTCGAGTAATATAGTTTACCATCAGGCATGATGATTGGGGTTTTCATAAAACATTGTCGGACGTAATCAGCTGAAGTTTCGTCTATAATTTTTACTAATCCAAAGATTATATCAAATGCTTGCTCTTTGAACCATGTATTTACATTAGCGTCAAAACAAGATAGGTCGATACAATATACATGAACGTCAGGTTCATGGAATGCTTTGGATATGTCGGCAGGCATAGATGCGAACATGTCCTTTCCTATATAGAATGGAGATTCTCGTAGCGTGTACTGCTTTATCAAGGGTTCAGCCATCAATGATTCAATAAATATCGTGTGAAAGGGTGGTGCCCAGATATGTCGAATTTTCGGGTTAGCTCTTAGTGCTAACTGTGATCTAGCGAAGGCCTTGAATGGTACAAATGTGTACTCATTGCGGTAGAAGTGAAAGTCTCTGATTGCTTTGTATGCGTTAGAAACAGCCAAGGAATGGTTTTCAATCTTGGAACCTATGTAACCGTAACCTGCTGCTGTGCTAGGTTTAAAATCTACAAAAGGTAAGTAGTTTCTGTAATACTGCTGGCATTCTAGTTCTTTCAATGCTTCTTTTACGTCCCAGAGGCAAGTTTCTATAAGGCGATCTCGCTTTAAACGGTTGTATAAACGTCGTTCTGCGTTGATCGTACGCTTGTAATTCCAAAAGGACTGGTAGTGAAGTTCTTCGTCGTATTCTCCGCGAGTATACAATTCCAACTTCTCTAACGTTTCAGTATCTAAAGTGTCTTTTGCGATAGCCTGTATCCATGGGGCGTACAAAGTTCCTGAATCACGTAGTTCGTAACTAGGTAAACGTTTCACAGTTTATGGTATCCATTCTGGCACTGAAAAATAGAAGCAACATTATTGTAATTATCCCGTAGGTCCGTTAACAACGTGCTATCCATCCAAAATATAAGGTCTTGGG